TTTGTACTTCTCCAAGTCGTTTGGCTGTACAACAAAAACCAACTGCAGAACGAGAGCTTGGCTATTTGTAGCATATACTTAAAGCCAAAGGGTAATTTGCAGAGTAGCCCTGCTGCCACACAGCCAGACCACATGAGAGTTGGTGACAGGCAGTGACTCATTCTGCAGCTTAATGCAGAGATGTTTGCAGACCCTCACATAACTCTAAAATGACTAAGAAGAATCTTTTCGCTTCAGCATTTATTTAAGAGGTGGGCTGACCATGTGCAAACAGAAGCTACAAGACAAGAGGAAAAGGTCCTCAGAAAGCCTCTCCACAGTTGCACCCTGAAGCTGAATTGGAAGACTTCTGTGCTGAATCTGAGTAGAGCCTACTATGCAGACTGCGCAAGTGGCCCGAGCCATAGCTAGAGTCTGCAACTGTGAGGCTGTGATGAAGCGACATGTAGTTACAATCCCAGGTAGCTGTAGGTTAGATAACTGCATAGGTTTTAAGAATCTGAATCTCTTTATTTTCATTGTACAAGTACAATGAAACTGGATATAAATAACACATACAAAATAAATAAAAGGAAATATAAACAGTTAAAGCTAAAAAATAAATGACAAGCATTCTGCAAATGTGTGCATCAGCCCCACTTTGTACCTGTATATTTACTGAGGGGAAAAGACAATCCTAACTGTTACTTCAATCAGGTCCAAACTCAAATCGCTCCTGCTACAAACATGTCTCACCTGTTGTACAGCAACCCAGATACCACAACCAACCGATAAAAGTCATCCATTATCTGGGCAAAGTACACTGAGAAGTCCTTCCAGCTCCAACACGTATTACAGGTCCAGCCATTGTTGGATTTGAATGACACAGACACACCCTCTCCTGCTCACTAGTTCAACAATATAATGCATGAAAAAATATGTCTCAGTGGGAAAAACCTGCAATCCCTTAACACACAGCTGCAATGAATAACTTTTTGATCAGAAATTAGACCTTATTTGTTAATGCCAGCCAACAGAGACTACACAAAACCTCGTGCTTGTTTTAGTAACGCAATTTAACAAACACAGCAACTTGCTGCCACTTTAATTTTAAAGTATTGTTTGTTTTAACACTAAATATGATAGCAATAGTGGCAGTATGTTAATCAGCATCGGGACAGTAGTATAAACTCAGCAACTCCCACTCTGGATTTAATCTGGTGACGAGTGTAGCGTTTAACCTAGTAATTATCATGTAATTCAGACTGCAGCAGTCAGATGAGAAGCATGACATACAGTGCGGTGTCGGTGCGTTGGTTTGGATCCTTAACAGTATTCTGTATCAACATCGTTGAATAAAACCGGCACACATAAAATAATTTTTGAGCAACACTACCGCTGGATGACACACAGAAGGTCACATGCTACGATGCTAGCGAAGTAGCATCCAGATTAGCGGCTCAAAGACGCGCTAGCAGCTAGCATTTAGCTATAGCTAGCCTCCACCGCCGCTACTACTACTGGTGCCTTTAGTGAAGCCGGTTTTCCCGGTGGACATTCACTGAAATTAATTTAAAAAGCAGCATATAAGCGTGGCCCGGTATGGACGTCTAAGGAGAATTAAAGGGTACGTGCCACGTTGATTAGCAAATCGGTCGCTGAAAATAAGACCATCTCTCCTCAACATCTGCAGAGCGCTCACGCCGCAACACATTCTCACCTCTTTCCTCTGCAGCTGCGCTTTCAGTCTCTGAAGCACCGGATCAGCTAGATTAGCCTCTGCAACCACAGCTCTGAGAAGGATGAAGACATCGTCTGTTAACTCGGCGTGCTTGTCCCTAAATTACAACCGTTGGTCCGCTCAAAAACCAATATAAAATTAAGTCAAATTGTAAATCAGAGCATCACCGGGCCACTGCTGCCAGCCCGGAAGATATAAAGTGACGTCACGACGCTTCTCCGCCTGCGATTGGAAGACTGGAGGTGGCGCGTGCTTGGGCCAACAGAGACGTCAGAGAGGTTATTATCGGTCACAGCCGTCTACGCGGTCCTACAGCAGTAGACACAGAGTGTGGCCGCCCGTGAGGCGATAGGTTTAGTGGGCTGTTAAGTGACCGCAAGTCACATATTATTGTGTTTGATAAGCAAGTCGGCGATCTGCCAAAGAAGAGACAGACAGCTGTCAAATGGGCGAAGGGAAACGAGACGAAGGGAAAACAAGCTATACATACCGCAATAAGTGTAAGACGCTAGGTTGTCTTGAGCAAGAACGGTTACCAAAACCACCGAAACTCCTTACCTTCCTCTTTTTGTCGACAGCTTATTAAAACCTAGGAATGTAAAGATTGACTACCTCCTTATCAGCTTTGATTGACTGTATTTCATTCCAATACATATCCCAGACCATCAAAATGATACACTGAAACGTATATGAATTAAAACCACGATGCTGTGCGTTCAAGCACCAGACTAAGGAGCACTTAGTGAGTAATGTAACTCACATCACAGTCTATTAAAATTTCAGTACCCTACCAGATATGTCAGTTTCCCCCCAAGTAGTTGTATATAGTATTTGTATTCTATTTTTATCTTATTGTATATTTATTTTATTTTATTCTACTGTATACAGTATTTTATTCTATTCTGTACAGTTGTGTACTGTATTTATTATTGTATTCTAATTTTTGCCTCATAACTTTTGCACTGTCCACTTCCTGCTGTGACAAAACAAATTTCCCACGTGTGGGACTAATAAAGGTTATCTTATCTTATCTTAAGTATTTAATTCAAATATCTAACTGCATGTGATTGTTGCACAGTTTTATTTAAGAGTTCTGAATCCTTGAAAATAGCACACTTTTACCACAATATATTTCCTGAATTAAGAAGACGAAAGAAGCGTCTGAACTGTTGTTTCATACTTCTCCATAATTGTTTTTTTGGAGTTTCTATTCCTCCAAACTATCTGGCTCACGTTGTACTCGTGGTTCTTTTCTGGTCTATTTCCTCTCAATAGTGTGTGTGACAGGATAGAAATGAGAGAGTAGAAATATGAGGAATATGATGAAGCTGCAGTGAGTGATTAAAGTTAGGATAAAGCTTGTTCCATATCAGCCTCTCCAAACTAAATTCATCTTTATAAAAGGTTTATTTCCATGTACCTGTATCATGTGAGAGACAGCCAGCACTCTTAATAGAGCTTTCTACAATAATGTATTGATAATTAATGGTGCTACTGTTGCAATCAGTTCAGCCTGGCCTGTGGTGGTCACTGATATTCATGTAAAATCTGTTTTTGGGGGAAACAGTTAATGGATAGTTTGCGAATTCACTTATCAGAATAATAAAAAACAGCTGCTGGTAAAAAGATCACATGACTTGATAATGTGGTTCATTCATGTGTTTCACACACATAATAAACATAAATATGTGTGTGTTGGGTTTATTCTAACAGGCAGACATGTAAATACAATAATCACCAACATTGGTTGACTTTTAAGTGTCTTTAAAAAAAAATCAATTCATATATATTTAAATACTTTTATGTAATTTTATAAAAAGAAACTTGTCTGCAATCTCATGTTTACACACCAGAGGGAGTTGCATCTCTTACGTGAGGCCCACACATTGCTCTCCTGTTTCAACTTGACTTAGACGTTATCCCAAAATGCTGCATGTGAGACAGAGGCAGAGGACAGATAGGAGAGAAACATCTCCTGTGACTGCTAAAAAGGAACACGATGAAAGTGAAACGGTTAGATGAGCTGCGTGCGACACTTTGACCCTGGACATCGATTTCTTCTCACTGTTCTTTAGAGTTTTTGCATGCTTGTTGGGCCATATGTTTTTACTGCCATTTTCTGACACATGTGCACACAAAGCCACACTTTCTCCACCACTTACACACAGACTTGGACTCACACAAGCTTGTGGTCACATGATGAGGCAAACTGCACACAGAAGGGTGATAATCTCACTCCTCGGGCTGTGTCTTTGAGGTCACGGCGGGACACGGACCGTCAGGGGGCAGATGCTGCAAGTACACACATCACTTTCATCTGCTCTGTGAAATATGTGTGTCCAATGTGATAATGACACAGAGACACACTCTGCACACACTTAAAACGATACAGGAAGAGAGAAAATGTATCATGCAACTGTCTGTCTCTTTTGAGTGTCCACGGCGTCTAATCACTGTTCCCCGGAGATTCACCTATACTGTTTTATTTAAAATGTGATTCTTTCCCGCCAGTGTGATTACAACGTGATTACCTGCTACTTTAGTTATTCTGAGTTGCTCAACTTCAAATCGAAGTATTTTAAATTCTTCTCAACTTTCTGTTACTTGTGCACATCAGAAAGAGCACTTCTCATTTACAAAGGTTTCAGAATGTTAACCCTTTATTTACCACAGGCCTGCCAGTGGGCCTATTTTACAGGCATTCTTGACCATGACCATAACTCAGTAAACGTTTGAGTTAGAGACAAAATTCAAATGGTTTCTGAAAAATCTCAATTATTTCCCTTTTCATTTTACAGCCAAAATTACAAATTAGGTCTTTAGCATGTATAGATCATAGTCAACAAAGGGTTAAGTTAAAAGAAAAAGCACAACTGCTTACAATTTGAACACTTATTGGTTATACATGTGTTTGATGTCTCAGTTGCAAGGTCACATGCTGTATGATCCATGTCAAAATCTGCTGAATCCTATGCAGCATTGTGTACGTATTCTCTTTTTTGACACCTGAGCATTTGTGAGTGAGTTACAACCTTTTGCAGGTTAACTGTAGTGTTGTGCTGCATGTATTTCTGGGGAGATTTTGGAGAGCTTCAAGGCTGCAAAATTTAAAACGTTTGGAGAAATACACCAAAACCCACTGAGCAAAATTGTGGAGAGAGTGATGACCTCAAAACCTGTTCCTTTTTGTTAGAGATGTTCCACTGTCAATGTGTTCTTTTAAAGGTAAAACTGGTAAACTGATAATGTTTGACCCCCCCCCCCATCTGATTATGAAAATCTCTGATATCTAGTTGGACATATAAGGAAGAGGAGGGTGGGAGTGTGTGTGTGTGTGTGTGCTGTGTAGGGATTAGAGAACAAAAGGATCCTTCTCTGTCATCAAAGAGGATCTGCTCTCAACTCATCCCCTGCTCTGTAGCGACAGCTTTTTATTTTTCGGGAGTGGGAGTGATGGCTGGAGGGAGGGTGGGAGATGGTGGGAGAGTTTGATGGCAGGGGATGCAGATTTCAAAGTAATCTTTAACTTTAAGCCCCACAGTCCCCATGAAATGAAGCCCTCTGCCCCAGACACACTGTTGCCTATGGCTCCCAGTGGAAGCCTGCTATCCCTCTTTTTTTTTCCTCCTCAGGCTTTTGTCATGGTGGCACTTAAGTGGTATTACTCACTGACCGGATGACCAAATGAAGGAGTTCCTTTGAGAGACCTGAAAGAGATGGATTTTAACTCCAGAGACCAGTGTCGCCTCTTAAAACAACACTAAGTGGATATAAATGCCTACTGTGTTACTGGGATTCAGCAAATACCACAAACCAAATGGAGTCATCTCCTTGATCAGGATGGATTTAATAACCCAAACCCAGTGCACTGAAAGTGCTGCTGTTCTTATGATGATGAGACACAGCAAATACATGCAACAAATCCACAAAAATCCAATAAAACACTTGCTCTAAAAACCATCTAAGCATGATTTTAATGATTTGATAAAGATAACTGAACCCCCATCAGGTTATTTAAGACAGCCTGCACTTCCATTGTGTCATCACTTCAAAAAACTACTTATTTAGGCCCCCAACCCCAAAGTTATTTTTCTCATCTTGTTAAGGCCCATTTCCCCCCAGGGTGACTGACCTGGGTTCCCCTGCTGCTGCCCCGGCCCACCATGGGGAGTCAGTGTAATCACACAGAGGTAGTTTTAAGGTAAACGGGCACAGAAGATAGGAATAATTCTGTCATGTCCCATTAGCTTTACTCATACAGCTGTTTCAATGCACCTTGGGACGCTAAGCTAAAGCCTGCTTTAAATTTTAAGTTATTATTAATGGCTCTGTTTAGGTAAAGTGTCCCAGTAAAGCATGACAGTGTGGCAAAGAGTCTGCACAAGTTCAAACATAGTTTGTGCACCGTTTACTGATGTTATTACAATTATCCACAAACATACCTTTTACTAAAGTGCCATACGGGATTTATAATCACTCTGAAAAAATAAAATGATAACCATTTCCCTTTGAATAGTTCTCAACAGGCTGGGTTTTGTTGGTGTATCCGGGTGATCACGTGATATTGAGATAAACTGAGTCGCTTGCCTCGGTTTCAGGCTGATAAAGCATGCAGGCTAACCAAGTCAGGATGAGCGAGAACAGGGCAAGAATGCTGGCAACAGACAAGCAGACAGGGACGAGCGACCTGATGTGGCTGAGGTTATGCACAAAGACGAGGCCCAGAAACAGGAGCAGCAGCGTGGAGAGGAAGGAGAAGATGGCGCACACGCAACTGGTCTTGAATGCAACGTGTTTGCACGCCTCCCATCCGCTGTGGCCGGTCTCCGTGGAGGTCGCAAGAGAGGCGGGCAGACCCGGCAGCCTTTCCGCGTTTAATGAGTCCTCGGGCTCCCGCTTTTTGTGCGAGAGCTCCTCGGTGAGAGCTGTGTTGTCGGGGAGGTTGCGAACCCGACGTTCCGGTAAAGGAGTTCGGTGGCGACACACGGGACAAACGATTCTCCAGCCCCGACCCTCCCGGAAGTGCAACGTTTCGAGGCATTCCAGGCAGAAGGTGTGGGAGCAGCTCAGCAGTTTGGGACTGTGGCGCTCCAAATCGAAGTAGTTGTAGCATATTTTGCACTCGCTTTCCTCCCCATGGATGCCTCCTGCACTGAGCGCCTCCGCCATGTTCTCCATTATTGGACCGCATTAACTGCTTTATTTGACAACACTGTCAGTACACCGAGTCTCACATTTCGCCATCACACATAAGAGGACCTCCTGAAGTGGAGGACTGCAGGAAGGCAGTGTGAAGTGGAATAAATAATATTTCTGGTTGTGTTGAAATCGCGTTCCTTTCTGGGCATCGCCGTGATCTCGACACCGGAACTAACTGTTAAGCGAAAAATATATATCTAATAATAATACTAATACTAATAAATCGATAGACATTGTCAAATTGATTTCTCCATTGGTCTCTGTCACCTGGCAGATTTGTCTCAAGCGTGAATCACGTGTATAAGTTGGATCTAACAGGCCTATTTAACCGTATAATTAGAATTTAGTGCCCGCGGTGTCAGTAAAGGGCACCATGTGTTGATTCCTCTACACTTCAGCACCACAGGCAGTGGACAGCGCCAAGCAGGATGATCAGCGGTGACACCTTCAGCCCGGCGCTGATCCGCTGTAGTGCAAGTTTAAGCTCAGAGAGCAAGCACCACATGGGTTACATACCAGCAGCCGGTTTAGAGATTCGTGAATGTTCTTTTTTATTATCATGTTTGATATTAATAACCATTTCCAGGAGACTCTCATGGAAATGGTTCTTTTTATTGCAAGCATAATGACTCATATTCCAGTTTTAAACTTTTGTCCGCCCTAGTAATACAAGGAGTATCTGCTCAACTTACATACATTTACACCCTATTTGGTTTGTGTGGAGAAATATTATCATCATTATTTTATTTAATGAGAAATTATGAAATTATTTAATTTAAATAAAGTCAGACCACTGGTATAATGCACAAATGTGTTATGTCTGTCCTTAAAAGTTTTACATCCCCATCCATAGTATCGATCTCTGAATATGGAGTTAAAGTATACTTGAAACGTTTCAGAGTCAGTAGAGTCATCTTAAAGGAATTCCCTGCCAACATAGATGAAGAAGATTTCATGCCCTTTCCACACAGAAACTATGTGTTACGTGTTAGGACAAGCTTCTGTCTTCAGGCTGTATCTTTACACATGATAGCACACACACACTGGCCTGCAGGATGTGTCGACGTACAATGGGCCCTCTTGTGGCGGAACTTATGCTTGCATGTTTAGTGAAAGCAGTGTTAATCTATATAAATGAACAACTTTACATGTAGTTGAAACGTTTTAACAGCGCGGTAATTCCAGCCATTAATGAAGACAGAGTTATGTTGGTTAGAATACACTTTAAATTGCTAGCATATCAGTGCTCCTTTATAAAAACTATTATAAACTTCATTCTAATCATGGATTTAATGACGATTGGTGTTTCGCTTTAGTTCCTGTATGATTCAGAAGTAAAGTGATTCATCAGTAAAATATATAAATGAAGAAGAAATGTGTCAACACATAATGAGATGAATTTCTGACAATAGAAATGTTGTCAGCGCCAAGATTTTTAAACAAAAACATGGGAAATGCATATAATTGAACTCTTTCAAGCTCTGTAGCCCCCTGTACTGGGACTGCTCTGTATCTGCTTTTAATAAATCAGTAAAGGGGATGTGAAATACTAGGACTAAAATTGATTTAGCATTGTTCTCTTTTTCTCTTGCATCACACAGTTACACCTAAGAACGTAACACTGTAACTCATCACAGACTCATTCATTTAAGGCTGTTATCACACTCCGGTGCTCTGGCTTATGGTTGTTATTGGTCTTAAGCAGAAACATCAGTTGCCTTTTTTTTTAAAGCTCAATCTGGCCCTGCGATAGAGAAAATGACATACCAAAATACTTCTTGCAAATCATATTAATTATGGCAAAAGTCACCCGAGTGTTTCTTATCCAGAGAGACCAAGGTTGTTTGGCCTTCTAGTCGACTGAATTCATCCTGCATGTATTTTCAGGGAAATTAAGAAAAAGCCCTAGGGCTTGATGGTGTCTTGGGTTACTGCTTCAGAATATGTTTGACATATTTATTCTTTTTTCCCCTGTACATTAGAAAATAAAACTGAACTCAGAATATGTAATCCTTGAAGATGTGCAAAAATGAGCAGATTATGGATAGGATTCGCTTGTGTTATATATTTTGTGATTTTAAAACAAAAGCCTATTGAAAGATGAATTTCCACATCACACGTGTAAAACTAGTCATTTCTAATCATTAAAAGAATCTATATTGCACTGAATTTGCTTTGGATGTAAAACTTTCTTTGGCGAAGCAATAATTCTGCTCCTGTGTATTGTCATAACACCAAATATCATCCCTCCGCCAAAGACACACACACACACACACACACACACACACACACACACACACACACACACATTGAAGTAAGAGCACAGTGTATTGCAAGTTAAATAATAATCTTACTGAAGGTGGCAAATGATGGTTCATCATCTCAGTGTTTCGGTCTGTAGTTACTCAACCATTAAAGCAACCCCGCATGCCCCGAGGTTGTATGGTTAACAAATGCTTTGCTTCTCTTTTTGTTTGTTCTCCCTCACCTAAGCTCACCTTATAGGTCTTTGTTATGATAACTGCACTCAGCGTGAGTTCCCACTGAAGTCTGGAGAGCCACACATATTTGATAAGATCAAACACACTAGAAAAACAGTGCAGTCTTTTGGTTGTGCCTTGTAACAGTAACATCCCAAAGGCTGTTAATCAGAGAATGGATTTCCTCATTCTAACGCTGCTTAGATGTTTATCTAATAGATAAATTGGGTATTCTCTGTTTCTCACCTTTCAGACTATGTCCGCTCATGTAAAGCTCTTTTAAATTGTCACCATTGAATGCGTGGAGCTTAAAAAAAAGACAGGATAAATAAATAAATCAGTTACGATTGATATTGTCCTTAATCAGGCAACCCGCGTCCACCACACCACACACACACACACACACACCACACAACACAGACACACACACACACACACACACACACTACACACACACACACACACACACACACAATCTCAGCTTAATTTAGAGTTGTGGTCGTCATAACAAGTGACTAAGTAAACTACAATTCTGTGTTTAAAATAGTAGGAAACCAAAAACACCCCAAAAGAGTTGAAATAATGATAAACCCTTGCGGGCGTCTGCTTTACAGACATGTATTATTACACTTAATTAAAAAAATTCCCACTCACAGCAGAGGCATGATTCTCTGAGGCCTAATAAAGGTTAAACACATGCTGTTTTACAGCTGGCTGTTGTTTTAACACACTGAAATTATGATAGAAAGTCAATGGATAATCCAAATTAGGGTAATCAAGGTTATCAATCACTCTGCTTGTCAGGGTAAGCAGTTACATTTACAATATATTTTTTTTAAACTAAGGAACGGAATTTTTTTTTAAATGATTTAACCTTGTTAGCTCAGCAGTTGAGTCCCTATAGCTCATGGACAGATTATCAGTTATGATTTAATTTCCTCCAGATGTCCTCCTATATTTGAACTGATATTGTGTTAATCTCGACTATTATGCTGTAAGTGGCTTTGCAAAGAAAGGAGATTTTTTCAGTGCTGTGGTTCAGCAGAGGGCCTTATCGGCCAAGAACAAAACTGCCTATAGGTTATTAGGCAGCTATACTAACTTTATCTTTAGTGGAGACATAGAAGGTTATTGAGTTTCATTAATGTGTATGATTCCAAAATATAGCCTCAAAAGACTCTGGCTGTGTATCTGCCAAGTAAATGCTACATGTTATTTAGTTTTGGGTTCATTTTGTTCTATATTTTTGATGCATTAGGTTCACCGCTGCTGCCACCACCACAGCGCATTTCTGACTCAGCTTACCCCTCTAATTGATTTGACATGGTAGATCCAATATCCTTTTCATGATAGTCGAACTTTAGTATAATAACTTTCTATCTCCCCCATTCTGCTTTTATGGACGTATAATGTTTCCACATGTTCTGTGTCCATTGGATTTTTTTTTAACACAGGGTCTTATAGAGTGACTAAAGATATGTTGAGCCACATGCTGTGGGAGTGAAATGACCAGAAAGATTGCACCAAGTTGGGATGTAAGTGAAATAACAATACAACAATCTCTGTGCCCCCATCCAATGTTTCTCCATTTAACAGTCAATAAATAAATAAATACGTTTATTATTAAATGAAATTAGTTTCATTTAGTTGAGATTTTCACAGTGCTCTTCAGGATCATCATCATGTTTAGGTAAATATTCACAAATATAACGGTGATCACTGCATTGCACAGAAAATGTAAGTTATGATATTGCCTAATATTGTTTTGACCAATCAGTCATTCAATTCAGCAGACTGAGGTGTCCCATAAGCTCAGTCACCCAATGTATAACGTATTCCTGGGGGAACAGAATAATAAAAAATAAAATAAAATATAATAAAATCGCCATTTATTGTAATTATTTTAAAAACAACAACAACAACTCAAGCTTTAGAAAAATCAAGTGATCCAACATGTGGCTCAGGGTGTCCCTAATGCAGCATTTGCACGGATGTGTTACACTGCTCCGCGCTGCATTCATTGTTAAATTACTGCAACGATTACATGACAACTTATAACTTATTAGAGCTTATTACGGTGTATGTGAAGAAACTCCTAGAAAAAGATAAAAAAAAAAAAAAAAAAACTAGACTAGACTCCCCCTTCTATAATAACAACAACACCAAGAAAATGTCCATAAAAATATCTATATGTATAAAAAAATGTGTTTTTTGTTGAAATAAGGTTATGATTGACTGTGTTAATATACTGATTTGATTTTAAAGTACTCATTGCGAACTCTCAAGGTAGCAGAAAACTTAGATGACTTCAAAAAGAATAGTCAGATTTGTAAAATCTAACCGCAGTCGAGCTGCTTCTGTAGGCTTATCGTCTCGCGCTGTTCATTTGAGGCCCAGTGGCATCATCATCTCAGCAGAGCCAGGCAAAAACTATTAATCGAACAGATCTGGTGAATTTGTTTTGTTAAGAGTTGCTCTCGCTGTGAGAAGTTTCACGCACAGAAGCCTGTGACGTGACAAGCTGACCTCGTGAGGTCAGTCCAAAGACAAGAGAGGGCCCGACGTCCAATCACACAGCTCCCCCTGGCCCTGAACGTCCGGATCTTTGACCAATCAGCATGCGCGCGGTAGAGTCAGAGGGGACAGCGAGCACAGATAAAATGTTTAACTTCAATCCATCCTC